CCAGAAGTACCAATGACTTTCTTGGGAGTCAAAAACTGGCTGGCGGACCACTTCAGGCAGAAGTGGTACAGGCAATGGGCTGACAACACGACCGCCAGAGGCGTCTATTCGAACTTGCCTACTCCTAGCAAACAAGACCCATGGTGGGGGTTAGGTCGTAGAGTGCAGAGTCTAGTAACGCAGATGCGCACCGAGCACTGCCCCCTGCGCACATATTTCTGGAGGTTGGACAACAACAGAGATCCTACCTGCCGGCACTGCAGCCTGGCCCCAGAGACCTTAGAACATCTGTTGACGGAGTGTCCCGCACTAGATCTCCCGGGGGAAGCCAGGGCGGTTGGAGGATCCTTTGTGAGGGACATGTTGTATGGCTCAGCTCAACAGATGGAGTTGATAGCCAATTTACTAGCCGGGGTCATAAGAGAGTAATCTCAGACCTTCACCAGAATATGTGCGTTAGTTAGCAAAGTCGTGCATGTGTATGTGTGTGAGTTGTACGTATGTGTGTGATTGTTGTTGTTCGTGTCTTTGTTAAAGAATACGCACGCATTTTGCTGAATCCTAACTATGGTCTTGATTGTCAGTACAGCAGCAACCTGATTTAACACAAATCGGATTTACCACTCATTGCATAAAGATGAACCCGTTTATATACCTCCGAGGTTTTGTAAAGTGTATCTCTATTTGCAATTGTTACAAAGATATAACACAACTCTTAAAATAAGTTTTTTGTTTGTTTGTTGTTTTTTTTTACATTTCCCAGTAGTTGTTTCGATCTGAATGAAACCTATTGACTGTGTGTGGAATTTACTTTCAGTAATATTGAAATCAAGTCTACTTTCGATTTCGCCTTCACTATTGGAGGTCGGTATGGGGAATACCCCCAGCCTAAAATCCTCGCTATCACTCAATATATCGACCCTAAATAGATGACTACACCATGAACGTGTCATCAACCAATATGATATCTAATCTCTTTGGTCATCCGAGATCAGAGTCACTTTAAGCATTTACAAACTGCCATTTTAAGCCATCGGGACGTTGAAAGTCTGCGTACACTCTAAGCCATGGGGACGTTTAAAGTGTGCGTACACTCTAAGCCATTGGGACGTTTCTCTCTTTTAGAGAAAGAATTCGCCCTGATCGAGCTGATCTTAGAGCTATCTGTGATGAAGTGGGTGGGATGTCTTACACAAATTATTTTTTTTAGTTTCACGACCGCATTTTGCTTCAAATTTTCCTTCAAGTCAATGATGTTTAGTTTGTGTTACTGTGATATTACTAGCTTTCTGGATTAGGGTATTTCATCGGTGTTTAATGTCCGACAATCCATTGCCACATAAGCAGGTAATACTGAAGTTCAGTAGGCTTCCTTTTGTTCCACTTAAAAAAATATAGAATTTTGTTTCGTTTATTGGGTTAAAAAAAATCATTGTTTATATTAATTATTTGATGAATTTAAAAATTTAAAAAAAAAATGTAAAATATGCAATCTTACGATAAATAAAACATGTAAAAATTGCTAATTGAAAAAAAAAAATGAATATAAAAGTAAAAATTATAGAATAGTTTTATTTCGTTAATCTGGTTTAAGAAATCATTGTTTTATATTAATTATTTATAAATTTTTAAAAAAAATGCATTATGCATTATTATGAGAAACAAAACACGAGTAAAAATTGCAAATTAAAAAAAAAAGAAAGACAAGAAACCGAACTATAAAAATAAATAATAATGAACGAGTATAATATACAATAAAAGATTTAGGCACTTCAAAGTGTCATTTATTGAACCGGACATGGTTGAGTTTACATTCAGCACTAAAAAAAAAAACCAACACCAACTGTGCGCCTGCTAATCCACTCCTGTTGACGCTTTGTGTTTCTTGTCGGCTACGGACGGGATGCTGATCACAGATATGTGCATGCTATCTTCGTAGTCTTCGTAGCTCTCGTAGCCTTCACTTTCGTTACCTGGGGCGTTAGATTAAGATAGGATAAGATAAGATAGGAGAAGATAGGATAAGATAGGTTAAGATAGGATAAGATAGGATAAGATAGGATAAGATACGGTACGATAAGATAAGATAGGATACGATAAGATAGGATAAGATAAGATAGGATAGGATAAGATAAGATAATATAAGATAAGGTAAGATAAGATAAAATAAGATAAGATAAGATTCTTTTATTGATCCAAATAAATGGAGATTTTTTTTTATTTTTGTTGTTGATTGCATGATACATTTTCAGCACATAAATAAAAAACAATTTGAAGACAAGACATTTATTATAAATTATCTCAAACAGCGATTCAGTGAGTTCTCTTAGCCGAAATCGGGGACTTATTAGTTCGCATGAAGATGTGTGACTTGAGAGGGAGCACGCTGGTAAATTCGTAAAGATTGGGATTAAATGGGAAATGTGTATTTATTTTATTTATATTCTTAATTAGATTTAAAGACATGAAAAATAAAATATTCTGGGCTAAACCCTTTGCCTAAGCTTTCATTAAAATGCACTCAAACACGTTTCAGTAAAATAAAGGCATAGGAGACATCCATAGTTGTTTTTTTTCTTTTTAGTGTGTTTTTGTTATCTGTTTTACCTCTATTTGTTTTGTTATCTGTTCTACTTCTATTTGTTTTGTTATCTGTTTTACTTCTATTTGTTTTGTTGTCTGTTCTACTTCTATTTGTTTTGTTATCTGTTTTACTTCTATTTGTTTTGTTATCTGTTTTACTTCTATTTGTTTTGTTATCTGTTTTACTTCTATTTGTTTTGTTATCTGTTTTACTTCTATTTGTTTTGTTATCTGTTTTACTTCTATTTGTTTTGTTATCTGTTCTACTTCTATTTGTTTTGTTATCTGTTATACTTCTATTTGTTTGTTATCTGTTCTACTTCTATTTGTTTTGTTATCTGTTTTACTTCTATTTGTTTTGTTATCTGTTCTACTTCTATTTGTTTTGTTTATTGATGAAGGCTCTAAGCCGAACCGTTCAAAATCTTTTTTTTGTCCTGTCCAATTATTTAAGTTGAGCATATCTTGTTCTTATATTTCATTGACACAAATGAATGCAGTCGATTAATTATTATCTTTTAAACCATGGTCAGTAAACTTAAAAAAACAAAAAAACAAAACAAAGAAAACACACACACACACACACACACACACACACACACAAGCATTTCAATTATAATTAACGATTTAGCCTTCAAGGATTGAACAGAAAGTAAATGGCGAGAGAAAATGAAATGAAGTGATGGGCATAAGTCGCCTACAACCACGACGAAGAAATGAAGATGTAATGGGCGGCTGTATGGTGTAAGCCAGTGCTACTCAAAGTGGTGGTCCGCGGGCCGGTGCCGGTCCGCGAGCCTTACGTTACCGGTCCAGAGAGCATGAATGTTGATGTTTCAATAGTAAGAAAATGTAAATTAATAAATCTGGCACCGGTCCCTGGTGCAGTTTCGAAACGTGTCCACCGGTCCGTGAAACTTAAACGTTTGGGAAACGCTGGTGTAAGCTGTAAACAAAACACACACATACACTGAAACAAACAGGCATTTTTTTTTAAATTTTTTTTTATGCATCTTGGTAAAGTTATGAATTGGGTTTATGTCGAACGGAACCAACGAGCTACATCTACTCTAACTAAGCTTACGAGACGCCGTTAAAGCTACGTCACATTGGAACCGCACGTCATGCAACCATAGTTTAGAATGACATACGAGACCGATTTTTTTTTCCGAGGACATTTGGGCTCAAATTGCAATTGCCATATACTATTACTTTTTACCGCTACATTTACTCGTATTCATTTTGAGATTAATCTCTCTAAATGTAACGGTGATCGTGTTAAAAAAAATGTTTATACACATGAACAACGTTTTTTGTGTTTTTTGTTTGTTTTTTTTTTGGTTTTATTTTCAATTGCTTACTAACTGAGTTTTTCGATAATTTCAAATTTTTAATAACATTTTTACATTTTAATATTTTTGAATATGTATATTTCTTCTTTTATTTCTCTCTCTCTCTCTCTCTCTCTCTCTCTCTCTCTCTCTC